GGTGTTGGCCTCGTGGGACCACTAAATGAAGCGTAAAGCAGAGAAAACAGAGGGTAATACCTATTGGGCCATAAAATCCTAATTGCCATTACATTACTACTATTCCAGGGAAGGTAAGAGATGAAAGTGTATCACTTCTAGCCGGGGTGCTAGGAAGAGGAGATTCTTTACCATCTTTTTGGGAAATACTTAAATAACAATAAAGATTGCAATTATATATTTGTACCCAGGCTCTTGTACTGGCTTGCTGGCTAAGCCGTAAGGCGAAACGATTAGGCTTGGTGTTTTTTGGTGACTGGTGAGGCCCTGCTAGTTGCCAAGTGGCTTGAGAGGCTCTATCTATGCTTGGCGCGAGGGGATTTTTTGTGGCCACCTAACGTTGTGGCAGGATGTTGGCCTCTCGGTGACAGTAACCAGAAAAATAGGAAGGGGAGTGACAGGTGAGGCCCTCTCTATGATACAATGCGAGGCGGCTAGTTCACGAGTGGCCCGAGGGATGTATGCCTCCGTGTGTGAGGCGGGTTGTTGGCCTCGCGGGACCACTAACCGAAGCATAAAGCAGAGAAAAAAGGGGGTAATACCTATTGGGCCCTAGATCCCTAATTGCCAGTACACTATTACTATTCCAGGGAAGGTAAGAGATGGATAACTACGTGAGCAGGTGTACGTACCTGGTAGTATGGTATTGAACCTGACAATCCGTATAGGTTTTTTAGTAGTAACTGTAACCTGAATGGATAAAATCGTATGGCATAAGGAAAAATGGCATAGACCAAGCTTATCTTAAAACATACAGTATATGTGAAAAGTAAAGTGCCGTGACATGTAAATATTAATCATCATAGCCATACTGGTTAAATATGTATCAATCTTAACCCATTAAGTGCCGTATGTACAAGTGAAAAGTGGTCTGTTCCCACCTTGGATGTTGTATGTCCCATTGCTAGGGGAAAGTCTGTTGTGTGAGCAGCGTGCTATGAAAAATGTATGTGAACTATATTACCCGTTACGTATATACAGATGCGTGTGCTACTTTGTAATAATATGTGTATTTATACTACTTGCTCTGTGAATTGTTGTATGACTTATTGAATGGTAGGGGTCAGTGAACATGGTGTTGCAAAATGCAAGTGTACTGGAGAACTGCCGAGTGCCCTATAGGTGGTAGTGTAGTTGATGCTGATTGGTATGTGAAATGTTGTTTATCTGTTGACCTATAGGGGTCAGTGTTTTTGGTGTCTGTAAAACCCCATGAAAATTGTCAATGTACTTGACAGACCTGTAGGTGGCAGTGTTGATAGAACCACTGTTAGTCTTGATGTGAAAGACAAATTGTTGAGCCAGTGCTGGAGTTTAATTTATGGTTAGGTTTAAAACAATCTTATGTGTTATTGATATTGGCTAGTAATTGTATATGACATGTGAAGACAGTTTTGATGTTGACCAGTAGGGGTCAGAAATGCTGATTGTATGGTAAAATACCCTTTAACCCCCTTCAGGATACATGAATCCCTTTTATTCCAGAGTTTGGTCCTTAAGGGGTTAATCCAAATGCAAGGTTAACGTGAGATTTGGAGAGTGACCTGTAGGGGTCAGTGTGGTTTACATGAAACATTGTTCGTGAGCTATGCCCCAGCGTTATTGTTGTATGACAGGGAAACAAACAGTGCCCGTTTGACAATATACAATATGTGAACATAATAGCTTAATAACAGTCATTGTAACAAACCAAAGTTCCGTTAGTGGGTTGTAAACGCACAAAACGTGTGTGTAGTACAGTAGTAAATGCATGAACTAGTTCCCGTTTGGTAGTAAATTGCACGAACCGTGAGCCTGGCATGTCAGGGAAACCAAACGAAACGAGCAGTGAGATTTGAAATGCACGCACAGAATTGCCTAGTATGTTTAGGTAATTGAAACGGAATGTGTTCCCGTTCGGGAGTATGCTAATTTTCGAAATGAGCCAGTGACAGATATAAACAAGTGAATTTAAACGAATGATATGCATGAACATGCAATGGTTTTAGGACAGATTTAGACAAAATGCAGCCGTAAAGTGAGGACCTGACCCGTGCATGGTGCCGTGGGACTGATGCCTGGCGTAACGGGTAGGTCGACTTACGGTTTGTGAGTCACTTGGACACCATCCACAGCGATAGATTGAAGAAAGAATGTGGAAGGCCGGAAAAGCCTGTGGCTGGATTTCTGACACAGCTCAGCTTAGAAAACCTCATGGAGTAAGCAGGTAAAATGGCGTCTGGATGACCCGGAAGTGGAAATCATTCTGATGCTGACCTCAAGCAACAGGAAGTGACCAAGCACTGTCAGCAAGGTATGGAGGTAAGTAGTGGGTTTATATAGGCCGGTTGCAACCCCTCCCACAACTCCAGGCTCCGCCTTCCCATATATATATATATATATATATATATATATATATAGTGATATATACTATATACTTATGTATATATATATATATATATATATATATTATTTCGTTCTACGTGTATTTTGATATCAATATATATATATTAATTATAAAATACAGTTAGAACGAATTTACACATATATGTATATTTTTATTTATTTAGTTTTTTAATTTTTTAATTTTATTTTTTAACGTATTTACAGATTTATTTATTTTATATTTTATATAAATATATATATATATATATATATATATATATAATGATAATTATGTATATCCATTTAATCAATATCATTGTACGTGTTCTTTGATATTAATATATATAAACTATATATATATTAATATTAAAATACAACTAATGAGGTCAGACAGCTCCCCAGAAAAAGGGAGGTGCTGTACCCCACTGGAATTAATCTAGAGGTAATTCCTGTGGGGTACTGCACCTCCCTTTTTCTGGGGAGCCATCTGACCACATTAGTTGTATTCTTTGTCTATTTGTATAATTAGGGTTAAGCCCTTATTACCTCAGTAACCTACCCCGGCAACAGAGTAAGTTTCCTTACATCTGTGGTCAAGAGGTGTGTTTTTCTTTTATTGTAATATTAAAAAACACATTTAGACAGTGTATGTGTATTTATGTGTATGTATGTATATGTGTATAAATATACTTAGATCATATATATAATAAATAATAAATATATATATATGATCTAAGTATATATACTGTAATTTTACACTGTTTTAAACATTTTTTTTTATTTTTTTTTTATAGGCAGCAGGAGGAGTACCTGTCATTACAGGCACTCCCCCTGCTGGCATTGCTGTGGACAGCTATGCCATCCATGAGATTGTGATGTCCTTGCTTAACTCACACAGCTGCAGAGGAGGAGACTGGTGAAACGAAGCATACCGTTGGAGCGGTAATGGAGCTCTTTAAGCTGCTGGGATAATTGTGAATGCTTGTTTGTGGTTAGTGGAGACAGTAACCACATAGATATTGTGTAAGAGTTCCTATAAGGGGCAGTGGTTGGGAAGTTTCAGTAAAATTAACAGTATTGTGCTTCTTTGTATTTTTTTAAGGTACTTGAAATAGATGCACTGTGTGGAACACCTGGTCCCCTGGTTATAAGCTAGTACTGTGAAGAATAAAACAGTACATTGGACTCTAACTAATACAAACTTACACATAGTGTCTCTGAATCAGTTCCTTCTGTTCCAAGTTGAGGCAGTCCAGAGAAGAAAGCAGAAACATCCAATGTTGTAGCAGCAGATCAACATTTCTCTTATGAACAATTAAAAGTAAAAACAGAAAAAAATTAAATTAGATAAGCGCAAATAGTTTAAAAGCAGATCACTGTAGGCAGCAAACACTGAATGTAGGATTACTCTGTGCCCCAAAAAGACAAAGGCAATAATACGAAATCAGGTTGTGCCCAATGGGCAGTGGATTAAAATTAACAGTGATATAATAAATCCAAAATTTACTCCATGGTGCCTTCGTTCCTATATACCATGAATCTTCCTCATTGGGTACATGTAAGAAGTAGAGAAAGAAAAAAGACCAATAGTGTAGTAAGTTTTAAAATGATAAATAAACGACAACAAAATGTAAAAGAACCCCACTAACAGCAAATAGTGGTATAATCCCCATTAGCAGATATAAGCATTGTGTAGGAGATTCCAGTGATTTACAGTGAAGAATATAAAAAAGCAAATAGAAAACTTAATTACCG